GACGAAAACCCGTACCCGTCGTCGATCGGTTTTCGAGACGTTGAATCGGACTTGGTACTTGGCTCGGCGGACGAATCGATTTTCGATCGTCCGGACGCAGCGTCCGATCGCGCGACGCGTCGTGCACGCAAGTTCGCGTGTCGCTCCAGGATCGACTCCTATTTTCTCCCTGCTCGCGATGCCGGTCGTGTTCATAATTAAAACGCGTTCTCGCGATAGATGGGTATCGTCGCTAACGCAGGGCTTTCGCTCGACGGATCGTTACCGACGATGTCTCGCAACGAAACCTTAATTATTATTCGAGCACGACCGCTGCGCGTATAATACGGAATCGTTAAAAATTCGTTCGCGACATTCCATGTTCCGTATCGCGACGATTTTCTCTGGAATTTTCGACGAGCACGGAATCCGCGCTCGCCATCTACGATATCGTTTTAAGTCGCCATCTTTTTTCCATTTAATTTCTACGATATCGTTGTACGTCGGCATTCGCTTCGCATCGAATTTCTACGGCATCGTTCCACGCAACGGCCATCGATCGTTTTCCATTTCATCTCTACGATATCGTTCGAACGCGCGATCACGCGTTACACGATTTTAACAAATATACGCAGGGTTCGCGAAACAAGGTAATTAAGGTTACGATCGATCGAACCGACATTCGTTGTTGTTATCATTATTATTCTTGTCGTTATTACCATCGCAGCCGAGGGTTCTTTCGACCGGTGAAACGAAAATTCTGCCGTGGCCGCTCGAGCCTGTTTACGCGCGTCGGACGACAGGGTGTGGCCATAGCCGGCGCACCCCTGTAGACCTTCTCACGCAGCCCGTGATCTGTTATTTCAATCTTTTTGATCTTTTTCGGCATCTTCCGCCTCCGGGACCGGGACCGGGACCGGGACCGGGATCGGGACTCGCTTCCTTCGACCTCCGTCGAATTCGATATGCATGGGAACGATGCCGAGACAAAATTCCATCGAAACGATATATGTACATGCATATATACGTACCCGTCGACCATAGATTTTTCAATAATTCCGGACGCGTCTATCGTGTTCTACTCGAATCAATTTCACGAGTAGAACACGCGAAATCGTAAATTCGTACGAATTTTCGCCAGCGAAACGAACGTTTGTCTTCGTTCTTCCTTGTCGAGGGAAGCGAATCGACGGTGTTCGCGTTCCAACGAGAGCGAGCGCCGCGGATACTAATCGATACTTATCTTCCGTCGTGCCGGCGGAAATTTCTCATTTCGTTCCGGAAACGCGGCTGCCGGACATTACCGCGCCCGGCACGGCACGGTCGGTCGAAACGAATGGACGACGATAAATCTTGCATCGCGGTTTCGTTCCGATGCAACGGCGCCGCGGCCGTGTACCCTGTAGCCCGTAGCCCGTAGCCCGTAGCCCGTAGCCCGTAGCCNACCCCTGTAGACCTTCTCACGCAGCCCGTGATCTGTTATTTCAATCTTTTTGATCTTTTTCGGCATCTTCCGCCTCCGGGACCGGGACCGGGACCGGGACCGGGATCGGGACTCGCTTCCTTCGACCTCCGTCGAATTCGATATGCATGGGAACGATGCCGAGACAAAATTCCATCGAAACGATATATGTACATGCATATATACGTACCCGTCGACCATAGATTTTTCAATAATTCCGGACGCGTCTATCGTGTTCTACTCGAATCAATTTCACGAGTAGAACACGCGAAATCGTAAATTCGTACGAATTTTCGCCAGCGAAACGAACGTTTGTCTTCGTTCTTCCTTGTCGAGGGAAGCGAATCGACGGTGTTCGCGTTCCAACGAGAGCGAGCGCCGCGGATACTAATCGATACTTATCTTCCGTCGTGCCGGCGGAAATTTCTCATTTCGTTCCGGAAACGCGGCTGCCGGACATTACCGCGCCCGGCACGGCACGGTCGGTCGAAACGAATGGACGACGATAAATCTTGCATCGCGGTTTCGTTCCGATGCAACGGCGCCGCGGCCGTGTACCCTGTAGCCCGTAGCCCGTAGCCCGTAGCCCGTAGCCCGTAGCCCGTAGCCTGCAGCCTATAGGCTGTAGATTGCAGCAGGCGTATTCGGCCCCTCTCTCGGTCAGTCGATTCCGAATCCCCGCGGACATCGACAACCGCCGTTCCAAACAAACGCGAACGTTATCGGCCGATATATTATTCAACTATCCGACCAAATAACTTTTTTCTTCGTTCTTCCTTTTTTATCTCTTTGCCATCGACGTATCTCGACGAACGATTCGTCTTCGTTTTTCGTTTTTCACGGCGATACGCGAGCGAAGCGATTTTGTCGCGACGATTTATTAAATCGACGATTCGCGGCGGCGAGACTTTTTAAATCGCGTTTATTCCGACGCGTTTCATCGAACGGCTGATCAACGTCGACCGCCGCGAACGGTCCCGGAAGAAACTCGGGAAGAGTCTCGGCGCGCCGATAAATCGATAAAACGAATCGTCGATTCCGATCCGGCCCGGTGGTCACCGACGACGGCTCGTTCCGATCGCGTTCCAAATCCATTCGGGAATAGGTTTACGAGGCGTTCGAAGAGAAAATAACCGAATCTTCTTTTTCCTTGGTTCTCGGTGTCGTCGCGTCGCGTATCATTCCCGTCGACGAAAACGATGCGACGCGGCGCGACGCGTCACGGCACCGCGATGCGGTGCGTTATTCCGTACACCGTACACGTTCCGTTTTCCGCCGACCATTCGGCGGAACTTCTTGCGTAACCGGAAACGGCTCGGTAAAATCTACGGCGGATATCGTCAGCCATGACCGTAATGCAAATTCGACGAATAATCCTCGCTCTCCGAACATTTACAACCGATTCTCTCTCGTCGAAATCGAAAATAGCTTTTCGACCCGCGGCATCGTTTCCGCTTCGAACGACGCGCCCCGTCGCATTCTACGCGTAGACAATCGAGCGTCGCGCTTGTCGCAATTTCTTCGAATCTCGGACGAATCGAACGCCGTAGAAACGATTTTGGAGGTGTCGAGTCGTCGTTTCGTCCAAAGATCCGCGCGCGGTCTACGCGAAACGAGGTGCGCCGGTTCGCGGGGTTCGCGCGGAATTCCGCGTCGAACGTGCGCCCAATCCCGAGTTCCGAGTATGCGAACCGTGCGCCATACGGCTCCCGTTTCGGTAATTGGTTAGCATTTAACCCTGGCGCGCGTATATTCGGCCGGGTCCGGCCAAGTTTGTCACGGGGTTACACCCAACGGCCGTTAACGGGAAGCGGAGGCCGGTATATTCTCGCGTATATCGTACAACGTTATATTATATATTGTATTATATTAAACGACGTTTCCAAAACTCTGCGCTTATTCCGAAAAGCTGGTCGATTCCGTAGAATCGAAAGCGACCGATCGCGATATCGCCGGTACCAAGGACAGAGAGAGGGACGGCGAACGCGAACGTATCGAATCGAAGGAAAAGAGCGAGCCGAAAAGGAGAGGGCGACTCGACGGCTTTCGTCGAGGCGGGAATAATAGGGAGTCGAGTCGAAGAAAAGGTGGATGGTGAGCGAAGATAACTCTAAAATAGTTCCGAGGAGCGGCGAAACTATCGAGAAAAGCTTGGTTTTCCTTTTCGTGTCTTATCTCGCGACGAAAAGAAGCAATAGAAGAGTCGGCGAGGGACAGAAGCGGACCGGAAACCGTGTCAACGAGGTCAAGTGTCCAGTCGATCGGAGCGACCCTCGTTAAAAGACTTTAATTCGAGAAACTACGGCTCGCCGATAAGCTCGCACGCTCGTCGAGTACGACGACGCGCGTCGTCGCGGTCGACCGAAGAGTCGATCTCGTGCTACGATATTTCCCAACGACGAAACTCGAGCACGCGACTCGATACGCGTTAACCGATTCGCGATTCTCTCGAAATCGAACGACGTTCGAGACGTTTGCGCGGAATACAAATTTTCTCCGTCGGCCGTAAGAAAAAGCGGTCCGCTTCCGATTATTTCGACGAATCGAGAGGAACGCGAGAACGTTCCGAAATTTCTCCACCTTCTTCGTCGTTTTCGAACGATCGACGAACGAACGAGATCGTCGTCGAAACGATCGAAAATTTCGCACGATCCGATAATTATCGCAGAATCCGTCTCGCGCGTAACGATCCTTTCCGAGTTGGACGTCGATCGCGCGCGCCGAGAGGGCTACGCGAGATCCGGCCGAGGCGCGAGAAAAACACGGAGGACGGTTACCGAGATTGGCCCAAAAATACCAAAGGCGCGGCGAATGACATTCCGGGATATATTATCTTCTCGAAATGGTAGTGCAACCGATGACGCGGTCGTCGCGCGTTCAACCGGTTTCGGAAGCAAAGAAAAGAGTCGCGCGGGAACAATGCCGGAGAAATCGTTCTTTCGGTCGATGCCCGTGCTCTCGGGATCCGACTTCGGTTCGTCCGAGTTCCATGGAAACGGCGTTATCGCCGTACAACGTTTTCGCTTCCGTCGAACGAGAGAGGCGGAGCGCGCGTTCGGTTTCTCGAACTTATCCGAAAAACGCGGTCGACTCGGAAAATTTCCCACGGTTCCGCGCATCGGACCCGACGTTTCCAACGCGAGCGAGCGCGCCGCGGTCGACGAAATCCAAAGAAAAAAATAAACGCGATGCTCCTTTCGCGCTTCTCCGTTTCTCTTTCCCGCTCGGCCGTTCGAGCGAAATTACGGCGACGATTTTCTCGAAAGCCAACGGAGAGAGAAACTTCTCGCGGAAATATTGCTTTTCGTTGGAACGGGCGCGGAGAAGCGAATTCAACCCTCGCACGATTACTTTCTGCCGAAAAAAGAATTCTACCGTTAAAATGGAACAAAATGTCCGTCGCGCCGAATGCCGACGCGAGAACGATAAATCGATTTATATACGGTAGAACTCGTCTCGCGTTGCTCGCGAACAATTTCCTTTTTCTCGCAACGTTCCGCTTTCGTTCGACCGGCCTCCGTTCAAACGTTCACCACCTTCTCGCATCTTTCTGTTTCAGCAAAATTACCTTATGAAATTTGGATACCTGCCCCAGACGGATTTGGAGACCGGAAACCTTAGGACCGACGATCAGCTCAGGGACGCCATTAAAAATTTACAGGTGAGCGATACGTTTCGTGGAATAGTTTTCTTCTCGAAAATATTGGCATCGAGAGGCGCGCGAGCGTCGAATACGAGACTCGACCGCTTCGGCTTCGGCCCGTTGTAAATGAAATGCGCGAGGAATAAATCGTATATGGTCGGCGAAACCGCGCGGAGAATACCGTATTCGATGTCGCGTACGGTACCGTATTCGATGTGGCATTTTCGATACCCATTTTGCCGCTGCCGCCGCCACGCGCGACGCATCTTCGATGCATCGTTTGCCACGGTATCGTGTTTCTTCCGTTCGCCAAAGGGACGAACGAATCGTATGAAACGCGGACGGATATCGAGAAGGACATCGATCCACGCCAGCCGCAATTCGTCTCGAAAGAATCGGTCGCTGTTTCGTTGCACGTTTTTCGTGGATCGCCGTTCGCTGTTCTTTCGACGCGGCTCGTCGTCGACTTTGCTTCGCGAGCAAACCCTAGGAATTGTAACGGCGAGCAATCTTCGAGTCGAACCTACGAGTCGCGAAACTTTTCGTCCGTTCGAATTTTCGTAAAATAACGCAACGCGGGACCGAAACGACGGACTCGCGCAACGATCCGCGGTCGAATAACTCGATGGAAACGTGCCGCGATCGAACGTTCGTTTACAGTTTACGGAGAAATCGCGGTGTTCCCTTCGACTCGGACGAAGCGTCGAATAACCCGCTCGCTCGCCTGTGAAACGGCTGAATCGTGATTCGATCGTTTCAAAAAAAAAAAAAGAAGAAAGAAAAAAAAGAAAAAAAAGAACGCGACGCTGCGTCGAATACGAGATTAGACTACCGGAAACGTTCGAACGCGACTCCGTCGTTGGGTTTCCATTTCGTTCGGACGATCCTCTCTCGATCGATCGATCGATCGATCCATCGGGACGATGTAATTTCGACGGCCGGATAAAGCGGGAACGGCGGAAAAACGCGCGCGCAAATACAGATTCGGGAAAAAGCGACGCGTCGCTCGATTCGTTGGCGCGAATTTACATGAAAATGGAGCTCGTTAGGAGCAAACGCGCACGGACGTTCAACGACGGGTGATACTTTCTCCGACCTTCGTAACGAATCGCGAGCAAAATCGAATCCCCGAAGTAGTTAAATTCTTCGTTAAAGTCTTGGTCGAAGCGACGAACGACCGGTGTATTTCTGCATTTTCCAATGAAAATTCTTTCGCGAATCGAATTATTTTCACCGTAGCATCTTCTCGATACCGATTTTCAATTCCGTGAACGCGACGGTCTTCGAGCGGTCTATCCTCGATTTTTCGTAAATCGCGATCGGTCTCGGTTCTCTTTAAATAGAAATAAGAACAGAATACAGATGTCGCACGCGCGGTAGTCTATCGGTTTCGATCCTCGGAATCGTGGAACGTACGCGTGCACACATATTTCGTAACCGTGGCCCTTTTCCACTTTTCCACTTTTCCACCAGAGATTCGGAGGCGTGGCTGTAACCGGCAGCATCGACGAGGCTACGGTAGAATTAATGAAACTTCCTCGATGCGGACTTCCGGACGAACCGGATCCTAGATACGCGAGGATGAGGCACAAACGCTACACGATCCACGGGCAGGAGTGGCCGCGTCGGAACTTGACATGGAGGTAAGTCGCGCCGTCGCGCTTTCGTCCTTCTCCGCGATGATATTCGTTCGCTCGCGCATCGAGATCCGCTTCTTTCCACGACGACGCACCCTCGCGATCGCGATTAAGAATCGAGAAACCGAGTTCGCCGGATCGGCGGTGGAAGTTGGAACGTCTCCGAGTTGGGGAAAAGGAGCGAAACTCGAACGCGGGATAGTCGGAAAGAACGCGCGACGCGACGCTCGCCGTAATTCCTAGATCGAACGTCCGTTCGATCGAGAGCTCGTCGCGTACGCGTTCGAACGCGCGTCGTGCTCGACGATAAGCAACGATTCCCGCGTCGTCGACGATAAGCGCGCGCGCGCGTGCGCGTGCGTAATCTAAGTAGGTCCGAAAAGAGCATTTTTCGGGAGCGTATCCGCGCCAACGCGCGATCGAAGAATCTCCGTCGACCGTTTTATCGACGGGCTCGTACGAACGATACGACGATTCGAGCCGCTCGAAGCCGAGCGGAGAAGCTAAAATTCCTAAACTGCGAACGCGTCGACCAGTCCCGAGAAACGAAAGAGAAAGGGAAAGAACGAAGCGCGGCGGCGGAAAGGGCGGTCGCGAAAAGCTCGTATTTCCGTCGGTCCTCTCGTTTCCGAAGCATTCGACGTTTCCGTCGCCGACCGTCGAGGTTGCAGGCGGTGTTCGGTTCGCCGGTCGGACGATCGAGACGCGCTCGTTTCGGCGGGGCCGTCGCGACGGCCCGTATCGCCCGATCGAGAACGCTGCGCCAAGACGAATCGTTCCAAATTGCAAACGCGGAGCTCTGCCAAGACACGAACGAGTCCGCGAAACCCCGACCGGCGCGTCCACGTTTCCGCCGATACCGAGCTTTTTTCCCCGACGAGGCCCGACGCGGACAAAGGACAAAGGACGAAGGACGGTGTCGACGGTTTCCGCTCGCGTCGCGAATCGGCCCGATTTTCACGGTTGGCCGTTCGCGAATTCCGCGACGCGACGACGCGACGACGCGACGGGAACGGGACCCGGTGGGAAGGGAGACGACCCGCGGGCATCCGAACGGCGAGCAAACGAGCGGCGCGTGGATATTCGCCACTGGCCGGCTACCAACGATGTCAATGGCATTTCCGTGTACGCTGCCAGAGGATTCTTCGGCGATTCGCCAGCGGCGCGGCAGCGACCGGCGATCAGCGGCCACGGATGTCCTGTTTCTCGAACAGGTAGCACCCTGCACCCTGCGCCCCGCGTTCCGTATCGTCGACCGCTGGAACTTGGAACGACTTCTCGCTGACGTCGGGCTTTGTCTTTTCCGACGATCGGTCTTTCGCCCGTTTCGCCCGTTTCGCTTACGTGTTTCAGTTTCGCGGTCCTTCTCGCGAAACTTCGTTACCGGACTTTGAATCCTCGCGCATTCGCGTCGCGTGCAAATTACTGAAACACGGGAAACCGTTTGTACCGTGTTAGAGAAATTCGTGGCATCGGAATCGTTCGATTCGAGCTTTTTTCAATGTGTTGCTCGTCTGCGTAAACGATTCGTTGATCGCGAACGTTGGTCGTTCCTCCCGAATCGAAACAAAATTTGATGCGTCCGACATCGAAATTACGGTGTCGAAGAACGTAGATTGTACTCGGCGATCGCGAAACGTTTAAGGAATAATAGATACAAATTGGTAGGAAGATTTAACGATAACCGAGAATCGATGGGCGCATCGATTTCCCATCGAAACGAATCCGACGTCTGCTCGAAAAATGTCACGACGACGACGACGACGACGACGACGAGCGCAACGTTCGTACGATACACGCTCGGAACGCTTCGTCGCGTGCCTCGCTCGATGTCACGGGCCAAGGGGTTGGGAAAAGATCGTATGACTCACTCGCTGGAAGGGGCGGCCGCGAGTTGCCCCGAGGTCGATTTAGGTGGAATCGCTGGATCGGCTCGAGGAGTGGCCGAAACAACGGATAGGTGTATTTTTCCAGCCGCGCGGTAGCTCCGGGCTCGGAGCTCGAAACCACCCTTCGAACTTGGATCGCGAATTCGCGAACGGCCGAATAGAAAGATATATCGGTCGAACGGGGCTCGTTTTGCCGACGGAACAAAAGTAAAAGCTCTGCGCGTTCGTCGAGCGGGAACGTCTGCTCGGTAAATGGCACGGCGCGTCCTCGTAAATACAGATTCGTCCGCGTTATCGCGCCACGCTCTCGGTCGTTGGAAGCGAGCAAGAATATTTTCTGCGGAACCGTTCGACGTCCAATTAATTTGGCGAACCGACGCGTCCCTCTCCCGCTTCGCTCCTTCTCGACTCGCGACGCAAATTCGATTTAAATTCGCAAAATTAATTGGACGGTAAACGGTTTCGCAGGGAATATCGTTGCTCGTAACGACCGAAAGCGACGCGCGATAACGCGAACGAATCCGTATATCCGATTAGGCGACAAAAGAGGCGATGGAAAAACTTGGCGGAAAGGGAGCGACGCGGGCGCGCGATTAATTCAATTATCTCCGGCCAGTCGGTGTATCGCCGGGATACGAGAAAAGTCGTGGCTGCGTCCGCCTCCCTGCCTGCCTGCCAGACCGCTGCCGGCCTTTTCGGAGCTCGACCGAGTCGGTTCGGCGAAGAAACAAAGAGGAGAAAAGTCGCCGGGGTAGAACGTTCGTTCGCTGTTCTATTCCACGTTTGCCGGGGTTCGCGAACGACGGGTCGAACGTTCGACCGATCGATGGCGATTTCGTCGAACCCGTGCGAACGTTTCCGTTCCACGAAATCGAAAATTGATTCGTTCGACGGAAATTCGAGGGTGTTTCGATCGATCGTGTTCGTCGATAAAATACACGATCGCGTCTTTATTTATTGCACGATCGCCGTTCTCTTTGCGACGTCTCGACGCGTCGATTTTCGGCGTTTCTTACGAAAACGAACAACTCGAATACGAAACTACGAAGAAGAAAGTTGAAGAAACTTTTTAAATTATTTGTAACGCGTCGTTTAAAAGATTTTTTGCAAAGATAAGAAAGAATCGTTTCCAGGAAAGCAAACGTTTTTCCCAAACGCGCATTCGAACGTACAGAACGATGAATAATATCGACCGCCGATTCCGTTCGAACAACTTCCAACGAAGCGTGTGGCAATTTAAATCAGTTGCGAGAAACGAGATAAGAATGCTTCCGTTCGGGGTCTAAACGGACCCGTTGTTCGAACCTTGGATAAAATTGCGCGTAGCCGGTAAAAGCGGAAATCCGTCGATACCGTAGTTCCCTATACGGTCAGTAAATTAGCTATCGTCGGTACAACCGCGATACCGATCACGCGCGACGGTGTTTCGTGGCGCCACCTGGAAACGACGCGTCCCATGATCCCGACGAAGGAATTCCGCGAGATTCGAGCCGCGGTATTTAACGACGGATATCGCTCTGTAGCGTCCTCGAAGATCTAAATCTAAATCTAAATCTAAATGTAAAACGTAAATGTAAATATAATTGTAAATGTAAACGTAAACGGAGACGAAATTAAAGCGTTCGCGCCGGCCGTCGCGTGACCGACGAACAAATTCGTATTCGTTTCCGTCGCGATAATCGCGGTGGCGGATAAATAATACGGGGTTCGTTAGTATTTAGGCGTTCTAATTAGCAGACGCTCGGGGTGAGCCATCGTTCGCCTTAATTGCGCGCCTTAACGACCGGGCTCGCCCGCACGGTACGTCGCACGAAAATTTCCCGGTAATTTCGTCGAGTCGCGTCGGGATGCTCGTCGGGACGATAATCCTCGAGAATTTAAGACCCTCGCGTCGATGCCAATGAGAAGAGTTAATCAAGCTCTGTCAATAAAATAACGCAGCGAAATGATTAGCCCCGTCGCCCGTTGCTCGTCGCCCTTCGCGTCGCGACGCGTCGGGTGCATCCGCGAACCTGCCTCTCGATCGATAGAAGCGAACGCTGGCGATTCAAGGTTCGTCGATGCGATTTTTACCACTCTCTCTCTCTCTCTCTCTCTCTCTCTCTCTCCTGTCTCTTATACACATCTAGATGTGTATAAGAGACAGACGTTGCTCCTTCGCCGCTCGAAATACTTCCAGCCTGTCTCTTATACACATCTAGATGTGTATAAGAGACAGACGTTGCTCCTTCGCCGCTCGAAATACTTCCAGCCTGTCTCTTATACACATCTAGATGTGTATAAGAGACAGACGTTGCTCCTTCGCCGCTCGAAATACTTCCAGCCTGTCTCTTATACACATCTAGATGTGTATAAGAGACAGACGTTGCTCCTTCGCCGCTCGAAATACTTCCAGCCTGTCTCTTATACACATCTAGATGTGTATAAGAGACAGACGTTGCTCCTTCGCCGCTCGAAATACTTCCAGCCTGTCTCTTATACACATCTAGATGTGTATAAGAGACAGACGTTGCTCCTTCGCCGCTCGAAATACTTCCAGCCTGTCTCTTATACACATCTAGATGTGTATAAGAGACAGACGTTGCTCCTTCGCCGCTCGAAATACTTCCAGCCTGTCTCTTATACACATCTAGATGTGTATAAGAGACAGACGTTGCTCCTTCGCCGCTCGAAATACTTCCAGCCTGTCTCTTATACACATCTAGATGTGTATAAGAGACAGACGTTGCTCCTTCGCCGCTCGAAATACTTCCAGCCTGTCTCTTATACACATCTAGATGTGTATAAGAGACAGACGTTGCTCCTTCGCCGCTCGAAATACTTCCAGCCTGTCTCTTATACACATCTAGATGTGTATAAGAGACAGACGTTGCTCCTTCGCCGCTCGAAATACTTCCAGCCTGTCTCTTATACACATCTAGATGTGTATAAGAGACAGACGTTGCTCCTTCGCCGCTCGAAATACTTCCAGCCTGTCTCTTATACACATCTAGATGTGTATAAGAGACAGACGTTGCTCCTTCGCCGCTCGAAATACTTCCAGCCTGTCTCTTATACACATCTAGATGTGTATAAGAGACAGACGTTGCTCCTTCGCCGCTCGAAATACTTCCAGCC